GAGATGAAAAAAGCATGAACTTTGAAGAAAGAATATCAAATCTGGGTTTGCATCCCGTTTCTCAGTAAATGACTCGACCTCACCAACCCTCAGTTTCATCGTCTATAAAATAAGGAGAGCTGTCTAGTCATGAAATTAAGAAATCATGCATGCCAACTACCTGGCATGCAGATGTCACTCAAGATAAAAGCTCTAGAATAATGAAGACTGCATAATTCTTGAGCATCATCTGAAAGTCTTTCTTAAAGTCTCTTTCTAAAGGAATAAAAACTATGTTTCTGTAGACTAAATGTTTTTACAGATGCAAGGCATAAGATCCATGAAGGCAAATAAGCTTTTAGAAAATTTCCAAATTCTTTTGGCTGCAGTTATAAAACTAGTTCTGCAAATTAAGCACAAAAAAGTCCTTAAAAATGTCCCAGTCTGTGATGGGCCAAGTTTTATCCCATAGCTCATTTGGATAAACACTAAATTGAAATGATTATCACACACACAAAAAGAGAGTGATTGAGAGAGACTGTCGTATTAGCTTCTCCAATCCCTATTTGAGTTCTCTTTAGTGTGAGGTTTAGAAAAGAAATCAGGAAATCCAAACACTCAGCTAATAATCCTGGCGGATGTTGAAAAGGCCAAGCACTTGTCACAGCTGATGACTGACTCCCCTGATTAAGGATACCATAATGTGCTTTTACATAGCTAAAAGGTAAACAACAACTATTGGCAATTCCTAATTTACAGATAGGTAATAGCCCTGGCCTGAATTTGGTTTCTTGGGTGTAGGGGATTATGTGACGCAAAAGAAAAGACAGTATCCTTTGTGTTTTCCAGCATAAGGTCAAAGCATAGGCAATATTTTGAATTGGACGAGATAGACTAGATTTTTGCTTCCTCTTTGTCACCCCATTTTCTTAGTTTCTAAGGTCCCTTTTCTCCTGTTTGCAGCTTCTCAGTCTGCCTAAAAATTATTGAGGAAAGTTCTACCTGAATCCTGTATACAATGTGCCTGGTATGTAGAAGTTACTCAAGATAAAAGCTCTAGAGTAATGAATATTTGTTGCACATCTTCTGAAATTCTTCCTTAAGATCTCTTATGTTCCCAAAATCCTTTATAATGCAAAATAAACTTATTTCCCTTCTTTTCCCCCCAAAATCCCAACAGGATATTAATTTTACACCATTCAGGATAAAATAATTTATACTAATCTGTGATTGACTGATAGTCCCCAAATGAGAGTTAATTGTATTTTTAAAAGAGAATGATCGTTGCCAAAATTAATGCCTAATTAGTAGAATGTAGAACAGTGTTACAAAGTATTGAGTGAATATAGGCTTGTTTTTAATTGGGGGAATGAGAAAAAATAGTTAGGCTTTGGATAGATGAGCCCTCAGGGTCTGCTCCTCTAAACTGACCTAATTTTTTTCTAGATTCATTCCCTCCTAAAATTCTGCTACCACAGATTCTCTAAGAGTTCCACATATTTTTGTTTGTTTGCTTTTTGCTTTTATCCAAGGAGATTCATATGACAACAAGGTCCTTGGCAATAGAAACAAAGGAGCCAATGTGGAAGACAGCATAATTTGAGACTATGGGTATGCACTAGCTAGGGGAGAACACATTTTTCATCTGAATATTGATAAAAATCTACATAATTACCATTGAAAAGAAAAGGCTGACCCAGAATTAGGGACATGCCATTTAATATTATGGCCATTTACCAAAACAAAGATAGATGTGAATACAACTTGTAATAAGTCAAGGTATAGGAAAAAACACAAGATAGTTTTCCAGACTCACCGGAAGCCTCCCATTCCCATGGAACTTGAAAAGGTTCACAGGAGGATGTATACTGTTGCATCTATATAGACAACTGCCAAGATCTGTCACCACAACCGCAGTACAGAGGAGGAAGCTTCAGCTGTGAGAGGTTAAATGTCATATCCATAGGAAAAACAATACTGAGAAGAGAATCTAACTCCTAATTCCCACAGCATCCTTTACTGTAGCCTTTCCTTGGCTACCACCACAGCGATATATCTCAGCTTTTAGTCCATCCGTTACTGGTACCAGAAAACACAGATGTGAACAAAAGCACACGTTACATTTGGATTTGTTCTGGCTTGTTTGACTCTCCAACATGTGTTCTTAGATCAGTAGTTCTCATTTTGAATCAGATAATAATTTTTAAAAAGCTTAATCTCTGAGTGAGCCAATTTTGAAATTCAACTGATTTTTGCCACCAACCACATAGCTGGGATGAACTTAAAATATTGAAGCCACAATGCCACTCACTATATAACTATTTTGTGCAAATAACTCAACTTTTCTCAAATTCAATGTCCTCTTCTTTAGAATGGGGATGATCACACAAACCTACTGAGGTTGATTTTTACAATTTGACAGTAATGTTAATTTTCACGTGGCTTATTGCAATAGCCTCATCTCCTTTTCTCCTCCTCTGGCTTCCGCTCTTAACCACCTTTCGTCTATTAGTAACAAAACAACTGTAGTGCTCCTGTTAAAGTATTAGTTCTATCACTCTTCTGCCCAATGTCCCTGCCCTCATGCCTTCTCATCTCATTCAGAGTAGAAGCCAGAGCTCTTCATTGGTTTACATTGTCTGCCACCTCTTCATTGCCTCTCTGACCTGACCTGCCACAACCTTCACCCTGGATCATTTTGCTCCAGTCACTCCAGACCCCTCTTTATTCTTTAAACTTTCCAGAACCACTCAGGGCCTTGGCATGTAGTTTACCCTGCTTGGAAATTCTTGCCTAGAGTATTCACATGAATCACTCCCTTACCTCCCTTTACATCTTTATTCAAAAGCTGTCTTCTCAGAGAGGTCTTCCCTGGCTTTCCCATCTAAACTCACAATCCACCTTCCTCCTAATACTTCCTCTACACTACTTTCTTTTTCTACTTAGCACCAATTAACATACCCTACATTTATTTATTTATTTGTATATTTTATTGTCTCTTTCACACTAGATATAAGCTCTATGTTAGCATTCTGTTCACTTACTGACTATGGGATCCTGTGGAAAGGGGAAAACTCCACTTTTCTAGAGTTTATTCATCTGTTTCCAGGATAGTCCGACAACAATGCTTGACACATACTAGGAGCTTAAAAACTGGTTGTTGAATTTAAATAAACTTTGAAAATGATGACCCTTGACACATGAAAAAGGTGGACAAGAAGGAGAAAGGGAAAAGGAAAAAGAAGATTCAAGGAAAGGAGAGAGAACAACTTTGTTAGATACGCTCAGACCACCATGAAACGAACAAAGAAAACTAAGCAGCAGAAGGAAAACAGGAAAAACATCAGTCAATTATAATTGAAAAGCCCCGAAAGAAACAAAAGGAAGCGCAAGAAGGGAGAGCCATTCTTCATTGTTCACTCAGTATTCACCAGGTTTAACTAGAGTTTTATCACAACCTGGTGCAGTATTATCCTCAGAAACTGGGGAAGGTCTTCTGTGTAACAGCAGCTCAGTTGTTCCCTTGAGGCAGTCATGAACTTGCGAAAAACCTAATGCATATACAGTGATTCTAGGATACTATTAATGATCAGATAAACTATTCTCCATCATCATGTGTTTTCTTGGGAAACTGATCTGAACATAAGCATAATGCCAATGACTAAGAGTACCACTCTGAAGCATGGTCATGACCTATAATGTTATACGTTACACTCTTCAAAACACACACTCGAGTACAGACAAATATGCCTCCTTACTAACAATTAGTAGATACCCAATCTTCCTGCAATGCAAGGACCCCAGACTTCTACACTTTTCTAATTCAGATCTCAATCAATGGAATCCCCTGGAACAAGGGGGAATTTCCAGCACACTAGAGGCAGCTTATCTCCATTCATGGGATGTTCTCTCAGGCTTCAGGAGGGTTTCTTTCCCTCCTCATTCAGCCCCCTACTATGATTTCCACTTTTCTCTCATGGGAGACTTTTCTTCTCTAGCAATCCAGTCTTGCAAAAACGATGTTGAATGTCTGGTAAATTTGTTCTGAGATATCTTTAAAGATCTGGGCTGGGGAAAACAGCATCCACTTTGCAACCTTCTTGGGATTTTCACTTAACTCGAGTCTCTTCATCCCAGGATTTAAAGCATGATGGAAACTTTAGCTCATGAATCAAATCAACCCTCCAGAGCTAAAAGCCAGCTGTATTTGCATAACAATTTAGCAGATCCAAACAGCAGGGCAAGGTCGGGTGAAAGAAATTGCCAAGGTCATGGTTCTCCTGAAGTGGTATTAGACTTAGAAATGCTGATCCCCAATGCTTGCTTCACCCCATGGATCTCTCCCTCCTACTAAACGATACTGTGGAATAAAATAAAATTAATCTACTGTATATGTGCAAACCACAGGCCTGCCCTTAACTCTTTCCTTACCTTCTAGTTTCAGATTATTCAAATCATGGAGGAAAAGATTAGACCACAACACATTGACTTCACTGTATTACTATACAAATGAAGTAACTTAGTAGAAACTGTGATCTGGGGACTCTTGATCTAAACTGGGAACTGCTGTTGACTGCATTTGAAACTCACAGTACTTTGAAACTCTTTAATTTATTGAACTAAAAGAATTGCTTTGAATTCACTTTGTTTTAATTCTGAGAACCTAAAAACACAGGGATTTTTTTTAAAAAATGCAAAGGTGCACATGCCAGAGAGAAAGAAGCTGAGGAGATAAAAATGTGTAAATAATTCTTACTTTAATACCCTTAGCTAGAAAAACCTTAAAAGCGACACATCCAGAAGCTCGTTAAATCACAGCCTCTTTGAACCTATTTCAGTGAACCACCGAATTTCAGATCCCTCAGGTGCGACTCTGAATTCAGAATTCTCACCGGCTCAGAGTCCTTTTTTCCTTCTTAGGTCTTAGGGAATTTTGCAAATTACGACTCCCAGCCTTTGAGGGGAGAGGACTTTCCAGGGGCGCGGGATGTGCCACTCGGGAATCTCACCAACAGTGGGCGTTTAGCGCAGCCAAGCGACAGGCAGGCGCCAGGGCTCAGCAACAGGGAGGCGCCGGCTGAGGCGGGGAGAACTTTGGCGCTCAGAGCAGAGCTACCCTTTGCTGGCCAGTCGCGTTGCTCCTCCTAGGAAGCGAGCGGCGGTGGCGACTCCGCGGAAAAATAACGAAAGAAAGGCAGAGAGGAAGTAGCGAGAGAAGAGAGAAAATGAAGTCAGCGCTGGGGGAGCCTGCAGGAGGGTGGCCGACAGTGGAACAAGGTGGATTTGGCTTCTTTTCCACACCCCGGGCGTGAACGCCCTCTCCAACGCGACCTCAGGAAATAAGTGGGTCTCGCCTGGGCAGAAAAAGAAAAGAATCCAAGCGAGAGCGCGTTGCTCCTCTGTCACCGCTGCCCCGGAGGAACTCCGGCTGCTTCTCAGCCCGGCCGCCTCGCGGGGCCGGACGCAGTGCCCGAGGCGCCCTGTAGATGGGGAGGGCAGGGAACGGACGCTCCAACCGCGGGTGACAGGCACCGGCCTGCCCGCCTGCCTGCTCCGCGCAGTGACCGGGCGGGCAGAGGATGCCAGGCGGAGGGACCTGGGAGCGGGATCTGAGACTGCCGGGGGTGTGCTAGGCTCCAACTTGGATGGCCTAGAGACCGCTCCAGCTCCTGGGACCGCTTCACCGAGTGGAGTGAAGCTGCGCGCGGGACCTGGAGGCGGAGACCTCAGGCAGCGGCTGCAGAGGGGAGAGCCCGGCGCAGGAGGGGGCGCGCTTTCTCCCTGCGGGTCACAGTAATGAGGAGACTGAGTTTGTGGTGGCTGCTGAGCAGGGTCTGTCTCCTGTTGCCGCCGCCCTGCGCACTGGTGCTGGCTGGGGTGCCCGGCTCGTCCTCGCACCCGCAGCCCTGCCAGATCCTCAAGCGCATCGGGCACGCGGTGAGGGTGGGCGCGGTGCACTTGCAGCCCTGGACCACGGCCCCCCGCGCGGCCAGCCGCGCTCCGGACGGCAGCCGGGCAGGAGCCCAGAGGGATGAGCCGGAGCCAGGGACGAGGCGGTCACCGGCGCCCTCGTCGGGCGCACGCTGGTTGGGGAGCACCCTGCATGGCCGGGGGCCGCCAGGCTCCCGTAAGCCCGGCGAGGGCACCAGGGCGGAGACCCTGTGGCCACGGGACGCCCTCCTATTCGCCGTGGACAACCTGAACCGCGTGGAAGGGCTGCTGCCCTACAACCTGTCTTTGGAAGTAGTGATGGCCATTGAGGCAGGCCTGGGCGATCTGCCGCTTTTGCCCTTCTCCTCCCCTAGCTCGCCGTGGAGCAGTGACCCTTTCTCCTTCCTGCAAAGTGTGTGCCATACCGTGGTGGTGCAAGGAGTGTCGGCGCTGCTCGCCTTCCCCCAGAGCCAGGGCGAGATGATGGAGCTCGACTTGGTCAGCTTAGTACTGCACATTCCAGTAATCAGCATCGTCCGCCACGAGTTTCCGCGGGAGAGTCAGGTGAGAGGAGTCTGGTGCGTGAGTGGAGATGGGCGCTGCTGGGGGCCGGGGCCATTGCATTAGGGGAGAGAAAACGGCTGGGTAAAGTCTGAGGGGAGTTGTTGCTTTATAACTTTGATATTGTTTAACGATTGGGCCACGTTCGTCGTTGATGGGTAGAAGGACCTTAGTAGAAGTAGAATAAAACATTTTAAGCGCGGATGGAAATAAAACGCGCAGTGATGTCGCGGCTGGAAGGAAAGAAGTAGGGAGAATATGAGAGAAAATCATGTTTTGACCGGCTGGGAGAAATCTAGTGGATGCCCAGCGGGAAGTAGAAGTCGAGGTTCAGGACTGTGGAGAGCGGTCAAGGTGCTGAAGACCCACAAGAGCAGGGTATGGGGGTGGGGTATCCCTGACTCCCTGCTAGGTGTCACACTCCCAAGAGGAACTCTGACAGCATGTGGCGGAAAAGCAGCATCTGCTCCCTCTGACTTCTTCAGAAGGTGTGCCTGAGCCTTAGGCAAGGGTGTAAGGAAGAAAGCACATCGCTCTGAATTCCTTCGGGTAAATAGAAAAATCTGCACCTAGTACAGAAGCCATAGGTAAAGAAGAGTGGTCAATTAGTCTTGGATATTGGAAAGCATTAGAAATATATAAAAGTGTAAAGATGGACGGGGAGATTTATTTGGGGATTGTTTCTTTGTCCCTACTTTCCTTCTATGTAATGTGGACTCGGAGGCTGGTATTCAGTTGCTGTGTTCAGCCCATTCCTGTCCCCATCATCAAGAATTTTTAAAAAGGAATTAAATGATTTAGTTTCTTATTGATTAAAAAAGCTAAATATATTTTCAATGAAAGAGCTATTTGTGAATTTAACATTGACAAGTAATAATAAGGAGATGAATATTTAAGGACAAGACAGAGTCCTTTTAGTAATGAGTTTTCTGCCTTTTATATGTTACTTTTATCATAATCTCAAGCTGTGTTAAGGCTTGCACAAAGTATTTATGAAGCAAATAGGTATTTGGCATGTGCCCATTTCAAAGACTGAGAAACTGAGAAAAGTCCGAGAACTTGATCAACATTGGTCAATGTACTAGTAAAAAAGTCCACACCATAGAGGATTTCTGACTTTACATCATTTTCACTCAACTCTTGCAGCTGGAAAAATATGTATTTCCAATCTTCTTCCACTTTTGATATATGTGCCGAGATAAAAACTAAAATGAGTAAGGGCAATATACAATGAAAAGTTTGATAGAATCTAAGCATAAATTGTCAAGGGAGTACTAAAGATTTCTTTTTCTGGAAAAAAATAAATCTTACATTTTTAATCTTAGGAAGGGTGAGTGCAAGCCATTTTCAGCAGTTGCCCAGAAGATTCCTAGCTGAACTACAGAGATTTGATCTGTAGAGTGTAGGTTAATTAACTTTTATATAAAATATTTCTGTCACCTGAATCTGAATGGTGTAGACAGCAGATGGGAAGGCATGGAAACACGGGTGCACAATGCTGCCAATGACCAAAGTGTTACAAACATGAAATTGCATCCATAGGGTGCACCATTATTAATATATATGCAGAATCAGATCTAACAAAATGCAGGAGTCAGCATCACTTGCTTCTCATCATTGCTTCTTTATTACCTACTACTTCATAAGTTGCCAGTAGTGGTCACAGTCTCCAGACTCCTTTTCATTTGTAGATTGTTTGGCAAGAGTCTTAAGTAGCAAGAATTTTTCACAAAAATTCATGTTCCTTAGTTAGAAGGCAAGTTGTGTTCTAGAATGAATGTGTGCAGCCTACAGCATATTACAAGGAGACCAGAAAAACCATGAAGCAAAATCCAGAATCTGTAAACTTCAAAGCTCTAAGACCAGGGGTTGGGGGGGTAATAAAGTCCTCCAGGGACAAGCCAACAATAAAATAAATACTCTGTCAAGCACATCTGCTTCTGTATTTCAACTCAGAAACATATTTTAAATCACTGTTGTCACTGTTACTTTCATGGCACACATCTTGAAAGGGAGAGATTATTATATTAACTCAGATCTAGTTTGTTCAACTGACTACATTTTCTTTCATCTCCCTTTGTATTTTAAATTCAAACATATCTAACTTGTCTTACTTTTCCTATATCATTTAAATGTCATTCTATAATATTCTGTATTAAGCATGTTCTGGTAAATGTCAAGTCACTGTAATATGTAATTTTCAGATGACCGTAATTTGCTTGCAGTGAAAATAATAACTGATATTTCCCTTGCTTCTCTGGAAAAGTGGACCTTCCTCTAATGCAGTGATGTGATTTTTAAAAACTTTCTACATATAAAAGGATGTCAAACTCATTTTACACATTAAATAAAATGGACTTAATCTAGCCACCATCCTTGGAGTCTACTGCCCAGTGACCTAATTTGTTGGTTGTGTGCCACTGCCTGAATAAACGATTCTAGAAGAAAGTGGACTTTTTCACACAACCAAGTAAAATAAAATTGTGTCCCTTACTTAAATCAAAATTGCTTTCAGAGCAAGAGCAGCAATAGCTGTTTTTTCTCACTTTCTTTTGGGCTGCTGATTACATTCATCTGAAGGTTTTAAATAATGAGCAATAGTTTTGTTAACATCCTGCCACAACTCTTAAATAGAAAGAGCTACCACTGAGATGAACAAACCCCTGAGAAAAGCATAATAGTTTTATTTTAACATACTATGTATTCAAAATAAGATCATCACATAAGATTGTCACTTTCTAGGGGATCAACTTCTTTCAGGTAGGGAAATTCATTAAAAGTAAGTTAATTAACTACTTTTGGAAAACATATGCATATTATAACTGCATAATAAAAGCTTAATATAACATTAAACATAGGATGGAGTCAAAGCAGTTTTCCATCAAAACAATTCTGACTTCACTACAACACTCAAACCCCACTTGAGGCTAACCTGTTTTATTAAAATGATTACTTCTTTTTTCTAAATTCTATTCTTATGACCTTCAAATAATGATGCTGAATATGAACCTAATTCCATTTACACTTAAATTAAGTTCCTGCAGTTATACTTTCTTCCTCTTTCGTTTCCATATGACTTTTTCTTCTACAGGGTTTGTGTAGTTTCTTCAAAGTTAGCTCCTTAAAGTTTACCTGCTGAAGTAGTGACAAGTACACATTTTTTAAAACAATATACATCTCACGTTAACTTCATATTGGTTCTATTAGGCAGAGTTAATGATGTAATATGATTGGCTTAGATCCAAATCCATTCAATTCAAAAGTGACTTCTCAGCCAGGCATGGTGGTGCCTATGTGTAGTCTCAGCTACCTGGGAGGCTGAGGCAGGAGGACTGCTTGAGCCCAGGAGTTCCATGCCACCCTGGGCAACATAGTAAGACCCCGACTCTTAAATTTTTTTTATTAAAAAAAAACAAAGTGATCACACTACTATTTTCAACACTCTTGTTGAATACACCTACCACAACTTTGCCTGCTTCATGAGTGATATGTACTAACAAATTAATATATGCTTCTTTCATGGAAATACAAGTGTTTTAGATTGTCCATTTTCTCTGACAGTACAGGACTAAGCACTGAAGCCTATTTATTAGAATTTGGCTTATATAGCACTATTTTTGCATGGCACAGGGGTACCTCATAAGGGGACCAGTAAGGGATATTTATTTTTAAAACATCTGCTCTCAACTGCGTTGGTTTTCTTTGACTTGCTCTATGCAAAGCACAGCTCTTTCTCCTCTGGGAGAAATGTATTCTGCAATTCATGATGAATAGCTGACAGTCGCATCTAATTGTTGCTGACTTTAAGATAAACAATTTCAAATTAAATGTGAAATGATGCAAAACTTTTTAAAGCAGTGATCTTTTACAGGTTCCTCTTGAAGAACAGAGACCTGGCATTAACTTGAAAGTATTTTTTAATTTTGTAATTTACTTACAATGTGTATTAGTTTTTCTAGGTAAGTAGAGCAAAGGAGACTAGCAGATGCTATTTATTGAGCAATTAGTTTGTCTCTCCCACTTTTCTTTGTGCTTGCCTGAAGAGTATCACTTAATCCATGAAAAATATATTTGCTCTTGATTTTGCCTGACCATTATATCTTAGAGTTAATTTATGATCGAATCAGCTGAGCTGTCTGAAGACTGATGCCAATTTCTAATTCCTCGTGTTTTATCCTCTGGTGCTGCAGAAGGCACCACGGATTTTGTACCATTAGATTTTATTTTATAAATAACTCCAGAGTCAAATTCCAACCACATTAGTTAAAAGAGCACAATGTAATGAAAAGCATATGAAATAGTGGCCAAAATGTTCCCAAACTGCCTCTTTCATTGCAGATGTTCCAAATCTGTCTCTCACTAGCCATGTAATTTTGGGCATGTGACTATCTCTGAGAATCTACACTTATCAATCAAAAGAAGGTACTTCACCAATCTGACAAAGATATTTTATGAACCAAATGAAAAAGTAAAAGTACTTGGAAAATTTATAGTGTTAGCCAAATAACTAGTGGAGAGGTGTTGGTCATTATCTGATAAGAATCACTTAAGTGTTAGAGTTCAACTAATTTTCTATTAGCAGTGACTAATCAAAATGAGATATGATTCACATGTAAAATGTTTCCATTCACCCTCACACCTTCCTCTTTACCCTCTCCCTCATTTTGTTTCTCTTAAAAACAAAGTGGGTTTAGAAACAAACAACAAAAAAAACCAGGTCCCTAAGTAGGTTGCACACTTGCCTGGAAAAAGAAGGCATGTCACAGTACTGTTTCTGTATTAACAGCAACTTTTAACCTATGGCACATCTAACACAACTTCTAGAGCCTTAAGTCCTGCCATAGAAATATCATTACGATGCCCAAGATATTTGAGAAATGTTGGTCCTCCATATTGTTCACAAGTTTTTTCTATAGGCAAACTATCATTCAGGAAACTATGACCATACAGAGTCTACCCCACTCCCACTCCTATTCTGCCAACTACACCACAAAGCAAACATC